TGAGGTGTGCTTGACCCAAACCCTGCACTGGATTCAGGCACCTCGTGTGTGCTGGACAAGGCATGAGGGCCACATTCCATGATGGTGTTGGTGAAGAGTCCAGACCAAAGTGTGGACTCCCAGAACAAACGGGTCACAAATCTGTGTTGGACGAAGTCCATCCAGAAGGCTTCTTGGAGGTGAGGATGGCTAGACTTTGCCTCACATACCTTGGACATGCTAACTGGTAAAACCAGTCCTTGGGAAAAGGTGTCACACTTGGTAAAAGAGAGGCCGTGAGAAAGGGAAGGCCCTGCACAAGATGGACTGACATGGGACTGCAAGAACGGGTACGCAGGACACCTGAGGATGGCGTTTTGTTCTGACCGAGGGGTTGCAACAAAACCAACTGAACAGCCCTGACGGGCTGAGAGAGGAGCTTGGAGCTCTGTCTCCAACAGCAGTTTCCTGGGGTGCGGCCTGGGATGGCACGTGGCCTCCAGGAGAAGCAGCGGGCAGTGCCTCCCCCGCCAACATGTTTCATTCAACCCCAGCTGAGTCTCATGAGCGCTGGACCCCTCTGCCAAGCTAAAAAAAGCCACTCTATCCCAAGTCAGAGAGCGATGCACCCTCCAGAGAGCTGGCTACCAAACGGAGCCAGGGCTGCAATCGTAGGTCCTTAAAGGGCAAGAACTAGGTCTCTGCGCCCCATTCCCCTCCCCCTCCACAGATCCTTTTTAAAACTGGGTTTTGCCCAACTCACTGCCATTGAATGGCTGGGGACTCAGTGACCCTTTAGGGCTGGGTAGAACTGCCCGTGAGTTTCCAAGACCAACTTGCTGGTTTCGAACTGTGGATCTTATAGATTGCAGCACAATGTGTAACCACTACACCACCAGAGCTCCCGAAAGGGTTTTGCAGACTCCCGGATAGCTGCAGACCGGGAGCTGTTCAAGTGTCACAGTGCTGACGCCTGTGAAGGGTGGCCCAGGCAGGCTGCAGCCTCCGACTGACTCCCATCCTAAGGCTCAGGCCCTCTGGACCTCCCGGGGCCTGCTCCCTTCTCTGCGGCTTCTGACCCCGCTCGCTCAGGGCGGGTGCCCATGCTCACCTTTGAGTGCTGTCTTCAGTAGCTGCTGATTCTCTGCATCAAAAGACTGGATTTTATACTCCTCTCTACTGGGCTCCCCCATGACCACCTGGCCCAGCAGCTCTTCACTGGGATGGGGGTTACTGGCAGCACCTGGGGAGAAGGCGAGGGGACCAGCCTCAGGTGTGCAGATGGGACTGGCCAGAGCTCAGGCCAGAGGCTCGTGGGCCAGCAGTGCATTTCAGAGGCTGGCTGGGAGCCCAGCAAGCTTGGCAAGCGGACAGTCACTAGGCACCTGCGGTTCGCCTTAGGAAAGCCCAGGCGTCTGGGGTTACACAGGTCGAAAGCCACGATAACAGTCCGGGCTGACAGCCCGTTGGGCTGAGGCAGGTGCCCAGCTGGGAGGGTGGTTAGGGGGTACTGGAGACTTGCCCACCTCTGGACAGCCTGGCCTGGCCTTAGGTAAACGGGCCTGGAAGCTGCCGGCACAGCCCGGTTCCTGGCAAGAAGGAGGGCTGAGGGGGGCAGCTCCGGGCCCTCCGTCCCATCAGGGGTCTGAACCACCTCCCCAAGCCGCTTCCACCGGCTTCAGTGCCAGATCTCGGTCCGCCAATCGCGCCGCGCCAGCGTCTCCCAGCACACGGACTGGTTAAACTGGCC